TTAGCTCTTTTGCCCATTTTTTAATTGGGTTGCTTGATTTTTTCTTGTAAAGTTGTTTGAGTTCCTTGTATATTCTGGATATTAATCCTTTGCCAGATGTATATTTTGCAAATATTTTCTCCCACTCTGTTGGTTGTCTTTTAACTCTGTTAATTGTTTCTTTTGCTGAAGACATATAAATCTTTTTTTTTTTTTTTTTGTGACCGGCAAGGGGATCGGAACCCTTGGCTTGGTGTCGCCCACACCGTGCTTCGCCAGTGAGCGCACTGGCCATCCCTATACAGGATCCGAATATAGGATCCCTATATAGGCCTCGGCGCTCCCAGCGCTGCTGCGCTCCTAGCACTGCTGCGCTCCTAGCACTGCACTCTCCCAAGTGAGCCACGGGTTCGGCCCTGCAATGCACTTTATTCAAACTTCATTCACTGTATTCAGAGTAATTGGTGAAAGGTCAAGGGTTCAGATCCCTGTACCGGCCAGCCACCAAAACAAAACAAACAAAAAAAGAAGTAATTAGTGTGTGAGCTTTACCATCCTGCTGGTTCCTTCATTAATCAGTTAAATAAATCTTTGCATGTGCTCCCTTTAAAAAGTAATTGACTTGAGATGGTCTTTTCTACTGGATTGTTCATTTCTCAACATGGCAAGGATAGCACCTTATTTATCTGTCATCAGCAACAACTATCATGCCTGCCACCTAATAGGGGTTGGTGTGATTGTTGAATGATTATGCCTCAGACCCATGGTAATATCTTCTAACTTAAGACAAATAGATGATTCAGGTTTGTGAGCTAAAATTACAAAACCAAACATGCTCAGCATAGGTTAGAGCTGTGCAGACCTCTCTTCTCATAGGAGATTCAGAAAAAAAACACATTCTGGGCCGGCCCGGTGGCGCACTGCTACAGTGCGCCGCTTGGGAAGCGCGATGGCGCTCCCACCGAGGGTTCGGATCCCACATACAGACCGGTTCCCGCTCACTGGCTGAGCGAGGGGTGGGTGCAACGCCGAGGGTTGCGATCCCGTTGCCAGTCCCGGTCCGGTGCGGGCACGACACTGAGGGTTGCGATCGTTGCCGGACACGGAAAAAGACAAAAGACAAAAAAAAAAAAAAGAAAAAAACACATTCCACTCCCCAGTGCCAGATGGGATTCATTAGTGCCTGTTTGTGTGCTGGGCACAGTCACCCAGTGATCCAGGGGGACAGTAAACCTGTCTTCGTGGTAAAAGGGAACTAACAGCATTTCTTAATGTCCCTGTCAGTTTATGAAAAGACAGACAAGTTTGCAGAATCATAAAGTCTCAGATAATGTCATGATCACGTTCCTTCCAAACATTCTCATATTCCATTTGAATTGAGTTTGATGCAGCATTCTAGCCAATGTCATTTCTGCCAGCTGAAACTGCCCCAAATTTGCCCACTTCAGGAACCATGAGTAGGGCTGGGCAGTTAGTTCAATTGATTAGAGTGTGGTGCTGATAACACCAAGGTCCAGGGTCCAATCTCTGTAGTACTGGCCAACCACCGGAAAAAAAAAAAAAAAAAAGGAACCCTGAGTATGGGAAAAAAACAAAAAAAAAAAAAAAAAAAAAAGGAACCCTGAGTATGGGGACTGCTGCTCAGAAAAGTACTTCTGAAGGGAGAGTAGACACAGACCCTGTTCATTAAAGATCACATGCAAGTATACAAGAACCAGGCTCTTTTAAGACCACGTTCATTACCTCTTGGCTGCTCTGCTTCTAGTAGGAGAAAAGTATTTGTTACTGATAAATAATATTCTCTGTCATTTTCATGGCAGTGAGTAAACCTAAAAATACAGAAAAGAGGGGAAAAAAAACAACCAAAAAATCCAAGTACACAGCTTCTTATAAGTTTAAATGGATTGTATCTCCTGGCCACATCATGCTCTGCTCTGATTTATAGCAATCAAGCCTCAAAGAAAAGACAGCAATAAATCCAATCCACATGGCTCTTGAAAAAAAGGCATCTATTTGGCTTTTAATACAAAATGACTCAGATACACAGAAAGAAAATATCATACAAGCCAGTTACTGAATAAAAAAAAAGATGACAAAAAAACAAGTTTCAGTCACGTTCCCCATCTCCAGCTTGGATTAGAAAATAGGAAACTACAAACCAATATCTGTCCTTCTGAAGAAACCCTATTTAAAAAAAAAAAAAGCAAAAAAACCAGTCCCTGAAATCTGGCAGATAGTTTTCATAGAGGCCATTGGGAGCTTGCCTTAATCATCCTGGCAAAATGGGATACAAGTGGTTGTTGAAATATGGTCATTGCCTCCTCTGTTTCTTGCTAGTAATGGTCATCTGAAGGGAGGAAGCTAGCCTGGGTAACATTTGACGCCACTTATGCAGTCTGAAGTCTCAAAGTCAAGCAGCCTTGGAGTCTTCCATTCCACATCTTCACTGAATCTCCCCCATATACAGTCTCTTGTCACTGGATGCTGAGAGAACTGAGGTAAAAAGAACAGAGAAAATAACTGGAAATAATGAAAGCTCAAGAAGACTTGGTGCTCAAGGGCTCTTGTGTCAAGAGCCAATTTTGATATAGAAGAGCAATTGGATTTAGTTTGAATTCCCCTCCTAAACACCATCCACAGGAAATTGTAGCTTGGCTTTTCAATCCAAGTTTTCTTAAAACCATGAGGGTGACTGTGCTACAGGAAATACATTATCAGGCTCTAAATCCTGATGTCCCTTGTCAGTCAAGCCCCAAGAAAATGAACCTTCTCAGTCATTCTAGGAGAGAGAAATCGAGTCTGTACCGGTCATTTTGTAAATGTACTTCTGCTTGTTATACTTAGCCCTGGAGAAAGTTACATTTTCTTCTTAAATTCAAGGCCTATTATTTGGTTTAGCTATCCAATAACATTTAAGCTGCAATTTAAATCTAAATATTAAATATCATTCTTCATCTAAATACATCATTGAAACATAGACTTGATACAAGTAAACTGTAACAAGGAATAAACTAACCAATCCCCCTTTGGGATCAAGAAGAAAATGGAACATTGCTCTTATCATTTAGGACAACAACGGTGAGATTGTTACTGTATACCTATAAAGACTGTTGGCAAGGGGCTGGCCAGTTAGCTCAGTTGGTTAGGGTGTGGTGCTGATAACACCAAGTCCCGGGTTCAATCCCTGTATTAGCCAGCTGCCAAAACACTGTTTGCATGGAAATTCACATAAAACAGACGCCCACTTTTGCCTCTGTATTCCCAAGGGCCCTCTGGGGAAATTCCCACCATTCCCTTTCCCCATAGTCAGCAGGGACTTACTGATGGGCTCGTCGGGGTGAAAAGCCACTTCATTGATGGAGCCTGCATGGCCAGGAAGCTTATACAATATTCTCCTGCTTGTGGTATCCCATACATACACAAATCTGCAAGGTATCATGAAGAACAAAGGTAAGGTCTCCCAGAGCTGGTGGGAGGCACAAGTTTTTAAGGGAAATGGAAGCAACAATTATTTATTCACCCCATATTCATTAAACTGTGTTCCAGCTTTTAGAAACTAGGAATAAAGAGTAAGAAACGGGAATACAGAGTAAGGCAAATTCTTGAGTTCACCTGCTTTGACCAAGTCAGCGAAATTATAGTGCCTTGGGAGATTTGGGATAAGTCAGTAGTCACATCTACTTGTCCTAGAAAATGTTATCATTAGACCATTTTGACTTAGAAGCAGACAGGATGGCACCAAAAAGCCATAAAGTAACCTAGAATGCTTCTTGTGGTCCTTACCCTAGATCCCTGCATGTAGGATGGATCCTAGTAACAATCCTAAATCTATACGTCATGTACAACCAATAGAAAACCTGATAATGTAATTAGGCAAGGTTGTCCTTCTCTCTCTCTCCTTTGATTCTTCCCCCTTCTTGTGATTATAAAATGCTAAGCTCTGCTGGCCTTCTGCAGAACTCATTTCTCAGAGTGACCTGACTATGCATCTCCCTGTTTGCAATCGTCACATTGGCTCAATAAAACTTGCTATATGTATTTGGCCTCCATTTCTTTTTACATCAGCACAGTTAAAAGGATAAAGGAAAGAGCTACTATCTTCATATGACTATACAAAAGTATCTGCTGGTAAATTTAAAGGGCTGGTGGTTTTTCAGCAGGTATTAAAAATTATTTACATATTTGTTTTGTTCAATCAACACTCACCAGTACTTGATTATAAAATGCCTAGTTCTGATCCAACATTACACTTTTGGTCTAAAATGCAAATAAACAATAGCTTCTTAATTATATTGTGCGGCTCTCTTGGGCTAGGCTCCATAGGAACTAAGTAAAAGTTCCAAGCAAGATAGAAGAAAAGCAGATACAACATCTCTCTAGACTCCTTAGTTCTGATGTTTGTGACCTCCCTACTATCTTCTTTCCTGCCATGCACAAGTAACTGGTTCTCGTTAATCCAGCTAAGTGCAGAGTGGCATACTGAAAGAGTATGAGCTCTGGAATCAGAAAGACCTGGGTTCGGGCCGGCCCGTGGCTCACTCGGGAGAGTGCGGTGCTGATAACACCAAGGCCCCGGGTTTGGATCCTATATAGGGATGGCCGGTTCGCTCACTGGCTGAGCGTGGTGCTGACAACACCAAAGTCAAGGGTTAAGATCCCCTTACCGGTCATCTTTTAAAAAAAAAAAAGAAAGACCTGGGTTCAAGTAAGGTTTTAGACAATTATAATCAAGGAGAAAATACCAATCTCACAGTATAGTTAAGAAAAATAAGGAGATAATGTATACAAAGTACCCTGCACACAGAATTAATGATAGCTATTGTTATTATGAATACACTCATTATCAAAACAGAATAGCACAGGGCAGCCCACCCCATGGCTCACTTGAGAGAGTGTGGTGCTGATAACACCGAGGCCACGGGTTTGGATCCCTATATAGGGATGGCCAGTTAGCTCACTTGGGAGAGCGTGGTGCTGACAACATCAAGTCAAGGGTTAAGATCCCCTTACCGGTCATCTTTAAAAACAAACAAACAAACAAACAAACAAACAAACAAACAAACAAACAAACAAACAAACAAACAAACAAACAAACAAACAAACAAACAAACAAACAAACAAACAAACAAACAAACAAACAAACAAACAAACAAACAAACAAACAAACAAACAAACAAACAAACAAACAAACAAACAAACAAACAAACAAACAAACAAACAAACAAACAAACAAACAAACAAACAAACAAACAAACAAACAAACAAACAAACAAACAAACAAACAAACAAACAAACAAACAAACAAACAAACAAACAAACAAACAAACAAACAAACAAACAAACAAACAAACAAACAAACAAACAAACAAACAAACAAACAAACAAACAAACACATGAAGTCACCAAGTTGACTAAATCACTCTCTGCAGAGACACTGGCCAGTCTTCCCATGGTCCTTGATAAGACTGTTGAGGGTTTCACATGAAACCCTCAAGAATTTGAACATGAGGAGAGGATTTGTACATAGAAAGGGGATATCTGCCCAATCCAGGCCAACCTGAAAAGGAGTTTTTTGGGAAGGATACATTTCTCCAGCACATAAAAGACAGAACCCCAGATCTCCAACGGTTTACTTTAAGGCCTCACTCTTGACGGCTGCCAATTAGATGCTAAATTTAGAGGGGTTTTTTGTCCTCTCCTTACTTTGGTATGGCAACATTCGGCAGGAACCAGGCTCCTTATGTAACAGAGCTGCTTGCTGACTTGGGGCTAATTGGCGAGGTGGCCTGTGAAACCTGGCCAACCCCGGTGGGTAGAGAGAGAGAAGCAGGCTTTCCTCAGACCAGAGCCATGCTTCCACATGTAAAGTTTAAAGAAACAGTGGAAAAGAGGGAAGAGAGGAGACATTAAGTCAAAAAGGGCCAACAAGAAAAATAAACTGCTCTTGTCAGAAAAAGAAATTATGCAAATATATTTTAAAAGCGTAATTACAAAGGAAACATACACTATCTCTGGTGAAAATTATGTAAAAATACTTAGAATGGTTTATACTCTTCCAGACTGCAAGATACCTTATTCTATTTCTTAAGGGCTTCTTTAGTAACCTGACAACTAAAATTCACTTAGATTCCCTCTTCAAGACAGCTCTGTAAACTACCCGGACTCAAATAAATCATCCATGTGGCAGTGATTCACCTGGACACCCCCCCTCCCCAGTACCTGAACACTTGTCCATTTTTTCCTGGCATTAAGCTTGTCAGGGAAAATAAAAGTGGCTTCTGAAATTTTCAAGTATGTTCAGCATTACTCACAAATAGAAAGATGTGGGATAAGCCACAGTGTTGTTGATGGCAATATTAGGAACCCAAATAGGGGAAAACCCTAGCATATGCTGAGAGCCCCGGCTATCTTGGAAACGGCTTTCCATTTATATGATGGTGCTTGTTTAAGTAGGGTAGGAGAATCTCTAAAGGGGAGAAGGTTGGGGTCAAGGTAAAAAGGGTCAAGACATCTCCCAATGGGAGCTAAACCCAGAATTTGCCATCAGAGGGTCTCATTATTCTTTATCATCCCACATTTGTAGTCATCAACCTGGACACCTGGACATCCCTATTTAATCTGTGATTCCACCCGAAGTACAGGTCACCATATACATACCAAACACAATAGCATCTAACAGGACAATTCTCTTCCTTTTGTTTCTCATTCAGCGTATAAAGTCTGAGCTAGTTTAAATTCATATCTAAGAAAGCCTCAATAGAGCCAGCTGGTTAGCTCAGTTGGTTAGAGCGTGATGCTGCTAACACCAAGGTCGAGGGTTTGATCACTGTACCAGCCAGCCACCAGGAAAAAAAAAAAAAAAGCCTTAGTCTATTAATTCAATGCAGGAGTGTAAAATACCTAGTCCACATGCTGCTATACCCCTCACCTAGCAATCATGTCACTTCCCACTGGACCCAGATCTAGCTCTGAATCATCCTCAACACAGGCAGCAAATTATCAAGAGCTGAGCTGATATAGAGGATAAAATTTGACTGCCATCCTTGAGCTAAGAATTCATTCATGTAACATTCACTAAGTGCTTGCTCACAGAGACGACTGAGATTCATTCTCTGACCTCTAGGAGCAAATAATTTAGTGGTTGGTATGCCCCACTATGTTTGTCTGACAGTAAGATGTAATAAATGCTAATAAAGGTCCGATGTATAAAGTGTGACTACAGCACAGATCAACGAACAGTTAGTTATGTCTGAGAGGTAAGGGAGAGACAGGGCTAGAGAAAGTTCACAGACATAACATAGAGGTGGTAACTACAGAGAAATAGGAGTTTGGAAATGGATAAGCGGGGATATGAGAGAGAACCAGGAGGTAAGAATGCACAAAGGAGGTTAGAATAAAGAGTTCCATGTGAGTGAAGAGATGATGGTAGAGGAGAGGTGAGTACTCAATATGTATTTGAATGAACTGAAGCATGGCAGAAGAATCTGATGAAGGAGACTGGAGACAGATTATGAGTCTGAATTTTACTTTGATGGCAAAAGGAATCCAACAGAATCAAAGAAATTGTTGACCCTCCAGGTCTAAAATATATCCAAGGAGGGTAAAATAATGTGTTTGTCCAACAGTTTTTAAACCCTTCATTCTGCACATGGCTTCCTCTATGAGTACAGCCATAACTCTATGTGTGCTTTAGCTCTGTATCTGTACTTCATGTATTAAACATGACAAGACACCTGCATAGCTACATTATTCTTTACATGATACCCAGTAATCCTTACCTGTCGGCTGAGCCAGCTGCTATTTTGCTTCCATCAGGTGACCAAGAACATCTCAGAAGATTCTACATAGACAAATAAACAGAACTCCATGGAATAGGAACATACCAAACTCCTCTTTGCTAGACTGCAGAATCACTGAGAGACTTTAAATTTTTTAAAGTTATTCTTCCCAGAAAGATGACCAGCAATTATCTTATAGTCTGTGGCCCAAAATACCATACTTCGTTATTTTACACTATATAAAAACTTACTGTAAAAAATGCTTAATTTATAGTTAATTAGATTGGGTGTGGCAACAAAAATTTTGTTCTGCCTATAAATGGAGGCTCCCTTCACTCCATTCATCTTGATCCTCATTTAAAATTTTTCTGTTTATCTTGATGAAAAATAAAATCAAACCCAGCAAAAAATAAGATTT